CTCGTGCATTAGAATACACTTTAGAAGAAAAATAATTGCTCCTGCCAAAACTATTAAAAAGACAATGGTATTGCATGTAAGTGAATAATATTCCACTTCCCTTCACACAGACGCTGTTATGTGCTTTAAATGGAAATTTCACCTGGGGATAAAGGGGATTTTATGGGATTTGCAATAATTCTGTGATGAATTGTTCTAAATTACTCTTTTTCCTTGCGTTGTCTGCCTCTACTTCCGACAACCCTGAGAGGCTAGGTATGTCAGCCTTCTTGTGTTGAACAGTTTTTATGTATTTATAGACGGATTGATAATGATTGCATTATAAAAGCAAATATAGCTGCTCTTCCAGTCAGTCTCCTGTAGATGGATTTCTCCCTGAATGACTGTTGAACACTGGTGCGAAATAATGAGACTGCTAAGAATCCACTGCTCTTTGATGACATTTCCAATTGATGTATTAGATGTAGTACAAATGTTAGTTCACAAAACTTGAATCGCTGCGGGAAGTATCATAAGGTTTATAAATGAAACCCAAAATACACACGCTACTCTGATCAACAAGTCATGTCATGAAGAATCTGTTTGTTTAGATTCAGGCCAATATTTTACTACATATCTTGCAATAGCCTAGTAATCCAAAGCAAGAATAGAAAAACACTTAAGTGGCTATAAACCATATTTATTAAAAGCAAACCAAATGATATACCAAATTGTTATACATAAAATAAATTCTGTGTTAACCAGTTCTACAGACAGTTATTTTTGTGAATTTCAACTCTCATAAAAATAAATTCTACAATTGTTCTTGTCTGCTGGATGTGTGAATAAATTGATTTCAATACCAACTTAACATTTGATAATATATCAGCGTAGTATTCACAGCTCATCTTAACGGTCCCAAGTGGCCAAAAATCAGTAATTGCAGGTTTGATGACCATTTAATTTGAGTGTACATCTGTAATCCAATGCAAAATTGCGATGTCCATATTTGTCAAGTAAAACAACTCCTCCACAAATGGCATAACATATGTTGGAAACACAGAAGTAACGTGTTAATATTAGTTTGTATTAATATCATTTCTTGAAGAGGTCCCCCTCTAATACTAGCGTACGAGTATAGGGCTTTGACCAAGTCTGACAGGACCAAGACTTATAGTGAGTCCATTTATGCCCAACAAAGTAACACATTAATAATGCAATAGTGTTTGTAGTTGAACTTTGCATGCATTAAACCAGACTCCTGAACTACAGAGTGCTGCTGCCCTGTCTTCCGTGGGTTCAAACATTAATGGCCCGGTGGCTCCACCCCAATCACACATTTTCAAAGCAGCTCTCTTATTTTACAGCTAATGGAAAACACCTGCTCTCTGTGTTTTGGTGAAAAATTACCATGGGATCAGCTAAGTCTCCATTAAGGTCCACACATTAACTTTAGTTTCCTGTGGCCGAAGAGTAATCTCTGTGTCCTCCAGCGGACCCTCAGGACCGTTGTCTTTCTAAAAGCATCTGTAGCCCAATTTGTTTTCTGATGCTGAGGCTTAAGCCTGCGGTGTACTTGTGGAGCCACAGGGCCCTGCTGTCAGGACAAATACTGAGGGGAAAAAAGGGAATTATTTTGTGTTGCTTAAAGTTAAATCTCACAAAGTGTTATGGTATGTGTGAAATAATTAAAAGTTAGTAAGTTGGTACCTTTTATTTACTATCCAGTAGAGACATGGTGAACATTTTAGTGAACCTTTTGGGTAACACATCACAGTTAGGCAAATGTTTTATGTGCTTACTTTCTTTCTACAATACGTGAAATGAAAAATGGGATTATTATTTCATAATAAAATGCATATGAAAAGGAATAATAATGTTTAAAGGGTCAATTTATATCAACATCAATGTATTATATCCTATGTTTTTCCATCTCCACTCTGTTTATAACACAATCTTTTGATTTAAATTGAGGAGCCTCCAAACCCAAGCATTAAAAACCCAGATACTTCTCAGCAGTACTCACTGAGATGAGTAGACTGTACTTGAGGTGTAGAGTCAGTCAAATGCCACCCTTACAATTGATAATAACATAGAAAATCTTTCTTTTTGAACGATTTATACAACTGTCTCTTCTGTAGGCAAGTTGACACATGCCCTGTGTTACTTACTTTCTTACACTTACTCTTGGACTTGTGCTGGCAGCAAGCGAGAACACAGCAATGTGAGTCCTGGCTAAGCTGGTACTCTCTCTGAGACATATGTGCACCTCACACCTCCGTCAGATGTGTGACATTTTAGCAGTATAACTGTTGTGACAGATCCAGTCTTGGGCCTTGGTGTTGCACGAAGCAACATGGAGAAAATAGCGCACAGCAACAGCAAGTGAGAGATAGGAAGGACAAAGAGCTGCATTTCATTTCATAATGCTTCTTCCAGGGGACAAAAGAAAATGTGTTTTGGAAACAGGGGGTGTATTCTGTTTTTCGACTGATAATACTACATTGAAAACATCACATCTGTGTTGAAATCAGCAGGAGGAGAGATGCCCTAAGATGAAGCTTTTTTGTGAAAGATCTATCATATAGACTAAAGAAGTTCTAAAGAATAGCCAACCTTTTTTAAAATGCGCCAATTGTCATTAAAATACCTAATATTGCACAAATAAAGGCCGATAAGAGCCCAGGGAGACAGCAACACATAAACGGAAGCAATATAGAATGGTTTGTGGATATATAGTTTAGGTATTCATAGTGATTCATTTAATATTTGAAATAGCTTTAATAACTATAGATTCACCAGCAATCAACTATAACTGAACACAGTTTTCAGATACAGGATCTTCTAATTATAAGCTCTGAGACAGAATAGTGTTGCTTCAATTACATTGGATCGATATCTTTTGCCATGGTGTCAGAGTAAGCTGAAACCCGCGTTCAGCCATGCCTCGTGTTATCATATTAACATGAAGGTTTCGTCATTAGTCACGACTCGAAGCTCTGAAGTTCAATACCGGGTGTTGGCTGCAAAGAAGCATTTTAAAGTAGGCATACAATATTGCATCTGAAGACGGAGAGGCGTGGTTTTCATTTTAAACATGTCAGGGTTGGTAAATGCTGGGAAATGTGTTATTGTTAGAATACAAATTACATTACATGACATGTTACTTATTAGACGCTTTTATCCAAAGTGATTTACATACTGTGGACAATCCCCACAGGAGCAATTTGGGTGAAGTGTCTTGCCCAGAGACACAACGACATGCTGACTGCAGTGGGGTTTGAACCTGTGACCCCCTGATCCGAACACCTACGCACAACCCACTGCGCCACACGCCAACACATTAAATGCAAGGAATGATTTAAAAAAAAAAGTTAAACATTATTTACTTGTTAAGAGTTGTTTTAAGCTAAGATAAAAAAGAAAGCAAATACACATACTTTTTAAAAATTCAAGCTGTTTCTTAAAAATATAGGACCTTTAAAAAAATGTTTTGGGGCATATCTATAATTGAAGTCCAAGAGGCAAACAGGGTAATGATGCTTTTCTTTTTAATACATACAAAATGATCAAGATGTCTGAAAGGCGTTTTATTTTTTTTGCCCAGCAATAACAATACCAATTTAACCTTATTCAGGTACCAAACACACCATTTAGAATTTGAGGTTTTATTGCAAAAGCTAGATAACTACCATGTGTTTATTCCAGAATAATTATTGAAGAATATAATGTAATTTCTTCTAAAAAGAAAAAAATCTTCCTCCTATGAACTAAAGGATATTCCTATGAAACACCTGCTGTCATGGGGCATTTAGAACTGCTTAAAGGTGACCAATCATACAAAATGCACTTTTGTACGTCTTTTATACATGAATATGTCTCCCCGGTGGGACTCACCAAGAGTCAGAAAACACAACCCTCTCTATTTTCCTCCATACCCAAATCTCTTAAAAAGGGGCTGCAACGGATCTGATACAGACTGATCAAGATTTGAACACTTCTATGACGTCATAGAAGTGGCGCTACGGCTATTGGGCCAACTCCACCAATCAGGAGGAGACAGCCACGGACATTGCCGTTCGAAAGCGCTGGAGACGCTGTAGTACATATGCCAGGCCTGTAGATGGTGCTGTTCTCACAGAATCAGCCCATGCAAAGACAGTGTTAAATTGAGCGAGATGAGGAATGGCTAAAATGCATGATCTGTTTGGTATTTTGAAAAATAAAAAGTATAAATATGCCTTATATAGGTATGGTCCTACACTATATTATTCAAATATAGCACGATAGGTCCACTTTAAGTAAATGCAGAGAATGCAGCACACGCTTTTCATTGACATTGTTCTAGGCGAGATAGCTGTGTTCTGACACTTTATATGGAAATGATGCAGATTACAAAGGAAAAGTGTTATTTACACCAGTCCAGTTTGTTTCGCCTCGGACGCTGGCACATCTTGTTCCCAGCTTTAAAAGCTTAGATAAGAGAAGACACACCCTCTCTTGATTGTGGAAATCCTGAAAGTCCTCTTTTCATTTTTTTTTTCTTTTTTGCTGTGAGAGCAGTGATGCAGATGCAACTTAACACTCACTACACAGGATATCTGGGCCGGAGGATTAGCTTGAGATAGCTGGAGATCAATCTACATAAACCACCCTCGAGCCTGTTCTCTCCTTCCCCTCTTTCCTTTTTCTCCTTGCGTACATGGCAGAAAGGGTGCACCCCCAGAGAGCATTCTGAGTAATTAAAAAGAGGGCATGATCAAAGAGGCTGTGGACTTGGTGATCATGAGCCATGTGGTCCATTCCCTACGGTGTTCTCACAACAAAAGGTCTACCTTGTAAGGACCAGCGTGTGTTGGTGTGCATGCAAGATGAAAGTATCTGGGCTTTGGGAAAACAATCAACTCCATACCTCTATTAGCATATTCTACATTACACTCTTTTTTCAAATCGCCAATCAATAAGCAATAAGTTGTTCCTATGTATTGTTAATGTCATGCTGAAGTTACAAATCCTATAAGCCTACCTTGGTTACGATTTGCAACACCAAGAGATGAAGCATTTGCTCGATCTGTGTAAAAATAGGAAAGGTTATATATTACACTGGGTTGAAATATATTTCATGCTGTTATTTAGTTAAAGCACAGTAACAGCATGCAGAGATTTTAAATATATATAAATAGATATATATTTTTACAATAGTCGGTACGTTTGTGGGCTGATTTGCCTTATAATTATTGGAGAGTTTCTTGTGTTTTAGAGTATGGACTGATGTACTGTAGAAAAGTGTGCATGCAGACTTGATGAGTGAAGACAAAATGCAGAGACATACATATGGTAGCTGCTTTTGTTTTGTTATCCAGTATTAGGAGTCCCCTTCAGGCATCAACACAGATAAGATGCATGGTGGGAGCCGTGTCTTCGTAGCAAAAATAATTGTTTTTTCTCTGGCTTTGGGCCAATATCTGTCTGTTCGCTTAGAGCAAATACTCTAGAGTAAGAAGGAGAACATCTTTCTCAATAGTGCCTGCATATTCACAGGCCAGCACATTTAGGACTCCTATTGTATTCAACGATCTAGAAAATATCTTCTTTAATCTTAAACTGTTATTTCTGAGTTTGTTAACTAATAGTCTATACTTCATTAATTACTGCTGATGATTTTGCAAGCCATGCTGCATACTGGTTGGATGGATGCCTGGAAAGAAGGAAACGCCTAAGCTTCCCTTTTAATCCATTGGTCCATTTTCTATACGGCTACTTCTATTCATTTCTATACAAGATTTTTATAGGCCTTTTAAAACCTGGGTGGGGTCCGTTATTCAAAAAAACATGAACAAAGCTCTATTTTTCAGACAAAGCATTGGCTCACTTAAGATAAGGTTCTGCATGATTGCCTTGTTAGGATGGATATGTTTCACTGTAGAAAACATAGTGATGAATGAAGATGATTATACAGCACAACCCCTCACACCAACTTCATACGTCAAACAAGTGTTAGTCACGACTGAGGGAGGAAACCATAAGTCAGCATGCCTATTAAAAAAGTCTGATCAACTTACGCGCTGGTCCATGGTTACTGGGGATACCTGTGGAAAAAGCAGGGACAGTGTTTCATGAAATCGTGAATAGCGTCATTTTGCTCTTGAAACTTGAGTCATGAAACCTCTAGAGGAAACAATATTGTTTGCTTTGAATAATTCAAAGCCGAGGAGCACTTGGTCTCCACTGTGTCCACTGATTAATAGCAGCCATTGCTCTGCAGAGAACCTGACCACATGGTCCAACACCCGCCCACCTCTGATGATAATAACAGGTCTGCCAATGACGAAATGTCAACGGAATCAAAACTCTATGCGGAAACGTATTTTTCATCAGGATTTTCCTTTATCTTTTAACTAAACATTCTGTGGACCGCTTGCTTCCTTTTTGTTATTGGCTTGATAATTGTAATTGTTAACACATCTCTGAATGAAACCAGTCAAACAGCATCTGCAAATCATTCAAAGTGTGTGTAATCTTCTCCTATTCAAAGGTCAGTGGGATTTACGATATAAAGAAAACAGATGTCAAGCCAATCAAATGAATTAAAATACAAATATGTTTTGGAACATTTGCCCATGATTGATATAAACACAGTCGGCTGGAAGAACAATTATAGTATTTTTTCAAGCACTGTTATATTCAAAACTCCCGAATTTGGCAAACCTGTTTTAGTCTTTGTCTAAAACATGTGTTATCAGTGTCTGCCCGTGGATTCCCCATCTTTGTGTTGCATTAATGTAATCAGCTTTGAGCAATTTCTGGTCATTTTCTCATGCTTTTCCTCTTCTGTCATTATGCTACAGTGGGATTTTCATATTGTTTGCACCCCATTTATCATGTCATTAGCAGTTTAGGGCTGTCACAACAACGGCAAGCAGATTTTATGCTCCAATTTGCAAGAAAAAAGCAAGCTTAAATTCCTAACCAATAGTTGTTCTGGGTGAGAAATGGAGGGCAAACAATATTGCCCTTTTTAAAGCCAAAGCACATTCTAAAAACTGATCAAACTCTCAGCCGCAACCCCTCTTAACCTGTGAACCTACTTTGGAACTCAAGATGAGTTGACGCTCCCTGCAAAGTGGACTGTCAACATAATTCTCAAAGTGATTCCTCTTCTGCTCTGCAGGATTTCTTTCCTCCTTTTGAAAGCCAAGGATTTGAATCACTCTCAGTCACTCTAAGCCGCTGACAGCTATGGCCCATAGCAACGCAGGGCTCCATTTTGGACTCTAATTTATTAGATGAAGGGTCACGTATGTCCATATATCTGCATGTGCAGGGATTTGAATAGACCTCACCCTGTTCCTATCTGTGAAATAAATGACTTCCATGATTAAAGAGGAAAATTGATGACAGATGAAAGCTATTAAACTATAATTACATTTTGCACGTTCTGGATATTTGTCTTGATACGAGGTCGGTACGTTTAATATCCTTAAAGGGAACATGAGCTTCAAATAATGGATAAAGGCATGTTACATGGCCTAGGCGTTACTTATGAGAGAAATAAGAATAATTCAAGACCAAAGTTTGTTCATGAAACACCTGGGGCACCAATATTGTTACGTCACTTCCATGTGCAACATTATTGCATTTTATGCCACTGCCAAACAAGTGCTAATATTGCTTTTGAGATGGCTAGACCTTTGTTTCATCGGTTCAGTGCAGATGCGGCCAAGTGTTGGATTTTTTAATAACGGCCTGTCAATCTGACAGTGAGCACCACATTGCAGGGAGGCTCATAACACCGAGGAGGTGCAGGGGTAAATCCAGCAATATCTCCTTAGAGCTCACAGACGTTCCTAAAAACAAACTCCCACTCGCAATCAAATGGGTTGCATGTGCACACACACATCCACACAGTTTTTGTGCTCATACATGCATGCACACACAACCACAGACACATAATACTCATACAAATGACCGTGTAGTTGTCCAATTCATCAACAAAAGCCCAAAGAAGAGCAAGACGAGGTACTGTTACTGACTGCACAAATGTACTCGCACTAAATCAGTGGATCAATAGCAATATCACATGTCTGGTAGATAATCTAATCAGATCAGCATGTTAGATAATTCAAGTCAGACAATCAAAATGAGCATCTGAAAAACCTGCTGTCAATCCCCGCAGATTCCTGCGAGAGTTGCTGACTGTGAGTCTGAATCAGTGTGAATGGAGGACCAGAGGGCTAGATCTTCACCATCTGGCCTCGCCTGGCCGTCCACCACCACATCCATGAGTGGCTGTATTAGATTTATTGAGGCAATGAGCCCCCTGCCTCAGGCGTGGGATTTGATAAATGCGACTCAACTCCCATCCAAGATTATAATGGGGATAATGCAAAAGAGCACCTTCTGCCTCAGAGATACCGTGTGAACGGGTAAAGAAATACCCGGCATTATTTCACACTTTTCATGGTGTTGAGGCAGGAATAATACATTTAATGTGTAATTATTGGAAGGATGGTTGCTATATACTGAATGAGCAGAAAAAAACACATTATTTATTCCCTACAAATCAACATACCCAACAAGGGCCTAAGGGGGAAATGACTCTTATGACTGTTCCACCATCACTATGGTTCAAGTATAGGTTATCTATACCCAAATACCTGTTAACAAAAAAATGCTCATTGTCTGCTTGCAAGCCTTTTCAGGGGCTTCCAGCTGTATCCTACTATTTTACTGATTTAAAATTGAACTAAAATAATTCCCTAAGAGTCGGCGGACAGCCAGAAAAAAAATGAAAAATTACATTATTTTTTTAGTCTTAGCTGAACACAGACAAACTCCAGCAGACAAGATCAGTGCATGTGTTGCTAATTAGCTTAAAGGTAACATTTGTACAGTTTGTAAATAGATTTTCTTCGGTGCAAATCCATGCAAATGACACAAGCCAAACATTTACTTAGTTCTGTCAATAGGCGCATTCACACCGCGGTACTTTTCCCACAAAGGTTCATGAAAACTCTTTAGTTCTCATGAACTAAGTACGGATCGCGTTCACACCGGAATAGGTTCCTGGGGAAGGATTAGGTAAAATGAAGCCGCTGACGTCACTTCTTCTTCTTCTGCTTTGGGTTTACTGGCAGGCCGCAAACAACTTCACAGTGTATACTGCCGCCCGAAGTCCCCGGCCGGAAGTCCCCGGAGTTGGGGACTGGCTTACGTAATCGTAATCGTCGCGTGTTTGCGTCTCTCTACCGTTGTGTTGAACTGTTAATAGGTTCAACTACTAACAGTCATAGGAGAATCCCCTGAAAACGAAGCTGGTAGGAACACAGTAGTGTGGTGTTTTCGTATTTGTAACCCTCGCCACTCTACTTCCTCCACAGCGCAAGGACCCGCT